TGTAGGGGCTCATCTCAGACTGGGAGCCCAGCTGTGATCTCTGGGCTGTAGGGGCTCATCTCAGACTGGGAGCCCAGCTGTGATCTCTGGGCTGTGTGGCTTATGCTGGACTGGGACCCTAGGAGGTTGCTTGATCTGTGCTGTGCCATGTCCAAGACATTAAACCAAGGGCTTGACTTAGTGGTCATTAAAAAATCTTGTTTTTGAAAAAGGGTAGTGGTATTAACCCCAATATCCTGGTCAAATTTCCCCCTGGCCTTTTGAAGTCATGGCCTCCTAATAATCCCCATTTCTGGACTGACTTCATCACTCTGTACTCCTCCCCACTTAGAGCTGGTGTGTGTGGCGAGTGTACTGTGTCACTCTGGCTGCTATTGCATCATCCAGGTGGGGCTACACACTGGTGGTGGTGGTGGAGGGGAGCCCTTATTACCTGTAAAGTGCTTTGAGTGGAGAGTCCAGAAAAGCACTATGTAAGTATAACAAGAAGGATAAGCAGAAGCCAAATGACTTTTGCTGCTTTGCTCCCTAGAGTTAATGTGATCTAGATGTGGGACCTTTCCTTGTACATTATTTTTTTTTTTGAGAACATTTGTTTATGTTCTATTTAATGTTAAATAAGAAAATAAAAACAACTACAACTCCAGAGGTGCAATTCCCCAGTTGCCCACAAGAGGGGGGTACAGCACAAACTCCAGACAGGACTGTGGTTCCAGCCTGAGTGGTGCTGGGACATCTAATGTCAACAGCTCTGAGGTTTCAAAAACTTTTCCGGACAGCACTGAGGCTCGTATACTTCCTACCTACCAGCTGGACCAGCGTGCACGACCAGCTGGGCAGAAGGTTGAAGGTCAGGATGTAGTGTTCAGATGGCCTCATTCACTCTGGGGAGAGGCTTAACAGAGGTGTGTGTGTGTGCATACCAGTGTGAACAGAAACACCCCACTATCACACTGCTGGGTTTTGCGCAACACACAGAGCACTTTTTATTGAGAAACCAGATAGTAAAAGTTTAAAACACAAGAAAAACCAGCAGCTGAATAGTTACACTACAATAAAAATATAGGGTCTTACATTCATGTAGTCGTTCAGAAACTTGTCGTCGTTCAGAACTGTATCTCACCAACAGTTTGCTCTGCCAGGGTTCAGGATTTGACAGCTGGGCTCTCAAACACTCCTCTCACACACACACACACACTCACACACACACAGTCACACACACACACACCTGCTATCCTTCCCTCTTCTGTGCTTCTGTGGTCTCTCTCCACACTGGAAGAAAGGTAATAATTCAATCCAATGTGTGTGTATGTAAATTACATAGTTATAACGACATGTGTCCGGATCACTGTGTGTCTGTGTCAGTGTGTGTCATAGTGTGTCTGTGTCGGTGTATATCTGGATCAGTGTGTATAACAGCGTGTGTCTGGATCAACTCTGCTTAGACTGCCCTTATTTGAAAAGTTGGAACTATTTTTTATTCTTGGGAGAAGAATGTTTGTGACAAAAACTATTTGTCTATAGGCAGGGGTATCACTAATTCCTGTCTGTTATAGGTGTTGGCGAGTATCAGTGTTTGTGTGTCCCCCATACCTCAGTGTTTATACAAACTCTCCCACCTTTACAGAGAACAGCTGGGATGTTCCACCAGGATAGGGGGGTTCCGGGAGTCCACAGTGGTTCGATCCGCCTTGTTTAGGGAACTCCTCCTTCGTTGCTCTGGTGTCCCTTCAACATTGTTTTAGCAATTGTTAATTAAATCTGACAAAAAATCATCAGAATTCAGAGAAACATCTCAGTTTATAATTAATCCAGCTCACAGTACAGTCAGTCCAGTCAAGCCTGAAGAGTCTCAGACTGCTCTGTCAGAGTCAGTGTCAGTGTGAGTCTGATTATATTCTCAGTAAATAACTAATTAAGATCACAGTAAAGTCAGTCCAGTCCAGCCTGGAGAGTCTCAGACTGCTCGGTCAGAGTCACTAGGTTAGTATTACCAGTTTTGAAGTAGATGCACCACAGCACCCCCGTGAGACTGACACCGATCAGAAAGGCTATGAAAGAGATTCCTGCCACGACTGCAGTGTCCAGACTCGCCGGACCTGAAGGTTGGAGAGAGGCAGCAGGGAGAGGCAGGTTAGGTCGTATGTCGACACTGAATTCAAGAAAGGCCATTAGCAATCACAGCGCAAGAGGCACGTACTGGAGACTGCAGGGCTCGGAGTGGACAGCACAGCCATCCTGGGATTGGGGACCCTCTGCCCTGGAGACATGAGACAGCAGAACAAGCAGGGTGGTTTACAGAGAGCTAGAGGACAACAAGCAGGCTGAGAGAGAGAAGGGAACTGCATGAGGGCAGTGGGAGAGTTCAGAGAGGGAACAGGCGAGAGAGAAGGAGGCAGTTCAGGCATGTGTTGCATGTTGTATGGAAATGGCCTGCAATTGGTTGTACTGTAAATGCCTGTGGATGTATTGGCTGTGTCTGCTTTGGCAACAGTGTCATTCATCAGTCATCCCAATAAAGCTGTTTGAAATGTGAATGTGAGAAGGAGTGGGAGGAGTTTTGCACTGACCAGCAGTGTGAGCAGCAACCTGGACCACTTCAACAGACTGAGTGACCAGCATGGGGCGAGAGACTGTCCAGGTGAACTGGGCACACTCGGGGCACTGGGACACGGAGGGCAGGGAGGGGAGACGGCCTGTGCACAGCTCATCCAGAGAGAGACACTGAGAGAGGGACAGAGAGAGAGAGAGGGATCGAGGGGGAGAGGGGGAGGGACAGAGAGGGAGAGAGAGAGGGATAGAGGGAGAGAGAGGGAGGGACATAGGGACAGAGGGAGAGAGGGAGAGAGGGAGAGAGACAGGAGGGAAGAGGGAGGTAAAGAATAACAGATGTAAAAGGAGTAAATGAGAAACCTTGTATATTCCTGTGATGAATTAGAATGAACACATCCACACCTTTTCCCTACCTGGGGAACTGAGGAATTCTGGGCCAGTTCAAGCGTCTGGGTCTGCCCATAGCATCTTCTGGGGGTGCTGTCTGGGATCCCCCTTTTCCTGTGGCCCCCAGCAATGGTGCCTGAGGGCCCTGGCCCAGCTGGGCTCCCCTGAGAGACCAGGCACTGCCTGAGCCGACAGTGCAGGAACTGGACGGAGTTATTATAGACTGGCCGGAGGACGAAGCTGAACCGCAGTCTGTGCTCCTGCCCCTGTCCTCCTGTCCTCCTCTCTCTCTCCTCCTCTCTTTCTGTCTTCTCCCCTGTCTCCTGCTCTCCTGCTGTCCTCCTCTCTCTCTCCTGCTCTCCTCCTGACCTCTCCCCTCTGTCCTGCTCTCCTGCTGTCCTCCTCTGTCTCTCCTGCTCTCCTCCCTCACACATGATCTGTGTCAATATGTCTTGCTCTCTTGCTCTCTCTGCTCCTGTCTTGCCCTCCTTCGCTGTCTGTCTCCTCCTCTCGTCCTTCCTGGCTCGTCTGTCTCCCTGTCTGTCAGGGGTACCTCCTCTCTCCGTTGTTGGCCCCCCCCCTCCCTCACTCTCACTCTCCTCCTGTCCACTGTAAAAGGTGACAGAGGGGTCCTGTGGACAGCCACCCTCTATGACTGTCCAGCCTGGCTCAGCCTGGGGGTCAGAGTGGGGTGACAGCATGCAGGACTGCACCCTCACACCCAGCCT